ATTTGCAGAAACCAAATATATATAGGTAGTGACTGTTTTTCTCATTTCCAATAAACTTGAAAACTGGACAAAATGAATAGGTTTTGTAGAGGTAATATTTGACGGGCTGAGTAACGGCAGGGACCGTGAATATAAATATTATGGTAGCAGCAGGAAGCATTGCAGTGATCTCATGGAAACATATAGAGGTTGAAATTGAAATTGAAATAAGTTTATTGAGGTAAAATACACACAAAGGGATGAGGTAGCTCAAGCTATTCTCACCCCGTTCAGTACATAGTGTTAATACACACATATACACATCACAAGCAATAAACGTATTACCGAACATTCTGAGAGATAAACATATACATTTCCTCCTTTACACAAGTAGTATGGTATCAGACGTACACACATACTTTTATGACCTAGGTATATTTAGAGGTTAGGCACAACCTGTAACGTCCGCTGTACCCTAATAGTCAACGGTTCCAGCCTAGTGTGTGGATTAGCGGCCATGACACATCGCGAAGGTGAAACCACGCTTTGCCGCCCATCATTATCATCGCCTGTAATATAATTTCAGCAATTGGTGCCACATAGTCATGGTCTGGCGGGAGTAGCCAGCAGACGTGGTGACAAGCCGCTGGCAAGAATGTTGTCTTGATACAAAACAAATAAGGCTCGCTTCATCTTCTTGCAAGTAGGCGTCAGATTTTTTTTTAATTAGCAAAATTAGGTATACACAGGTATAAACTGTCCCTTTCAAGTAATATATAGCCGTACTGGCTTTGAAAGTTGAAATCTCCTTGTAAACTGATATTTTAGGGAGCCAAGAAGATGGTTTGGTTTCCGCTTCTCTAGGACAGGTAACGTGTTAGGCTTACCTCAAGTGTCTAGGCGCAACAAGTTCTCACAGTCCATTCCATCCAGCGGTCGACTCCAAGACGCATTCTTCAATTGTAACATTCTGTTCATTAAAAACAAGAATTTTCTCAAATCTAAATTAATATTGTTATATCTCGGCATACTGTGCATATTTAGTCATTGGTTAGGTTCTGTTGGCGATTATTTGTATTTGTAATACGCGGATGAAGCATTTACAGCGTTGTGGTTCGAACAAAAGTTGTCAGTGAAGCACTTCTGGAAGTGTTCGAACGTCATCAGTTGAGTCTCGTGTAAACAGTGTTTCATTCATAAATAGGGGGTATGGCGGGTGCATGGAATGAACTTTGGCCTTTCTTTGGAGGACGAGCTGACTAGGCGACCAGCCGGCCCTTTCTCCAAGATGCCACCCACAACAAGCGTCTCGCCCTGCCTGGGACTCGAACTCTGGTCCAGACGGTTTTCAGAATGCTTCGCTAACCACTGCACTACACAGTAAAAGTCTAGTATGATGTAAAGAATAACGGGTAACGGTAAACAAGATGAGTGGAAGGAATAAACAGGGAATGAGATAACGGGTCGATTTACACAACTACAATTGTTGCTGCTAATTACATAAAGAATGAAACAAATGTGTAGAATTTCATTAAAGATTTTGAGGACAAGATGTAAACAATGACTGTGGGTAGTGGTCGTGCACTAATGCACAGTAACGAGCAGTTTGTTTAGCATTAGGTGTGCAGAGTTTCAGTAAGTTGCAAGTGGAAATAAAAGGCATCGTGAACAAGGGCATCGGTCGTGGTGGAGGCATACCATTAAGGGGCTAACCTACTTCGTATTCAGTTCCTTCGCTAACATAAAGAGACCCAACTGATAGCATGACAGTAAAAAAAGATACTCAAACTCTTTATATAATGTGAAATAATAATAAGTACTATGTAAAGTAAAGAGAATTCCAAATATCAGTCATGGGTGTTCGCAAGACGCTACCCCATCAAAGACCTTGAGCCTAATTCACAAAGCGGTTACGCAAGCACTTACGAACCTGTACATTTTTTCCTCAATCTTTGACGGCTCATTTATTAAACAGTTTACAAGCATGAAAACTTCTCAGTCAACTGTTGTCATTGTTATAAACAGCCTCCTGGTGCTTCGGAGCTTATTACCTGTTTAATAATTGTAAACAAAGCCGCCAAAGATTGAGAAAAGATGTACAGGATCGCAAGTGCTTGCGTTGAGGTAAGCAACCGACTGTTGCCGGCTTGTCGGGCCTATTTTTTTTAATATACTGGACAATATTGATATAACGGTCTCCCTTTATTCCCTGAAGAGGTCATGTGATTTGTTAATTGAGTTTGGTGCATTGTGGAATGGTGTTGTGGAAGCTGTCAAAGTTCTCTGCTTGTACAAGCGTCTGTTATTTGTTCTGTGCTTGTACTGACACTTTTGTTCTTACAGCCACATTACAGCCACAGTCGATTAAGGCAGTGTCTGGGATGCTCCCGGACGCAGGTTCGAATCCTCGTCACGGCCCTTGTGGATTTGTTCACAGCTGGCTGTCTGTGTCCTCCTGCCCACCTAAATAAATAAATAAATAATATAACCAGACCAAACAATTCAGTATGCTAAGCCACAATGACTATATAACACATGGAAGGGACACAGGAACAGGACAGGATAGGGGGAGGAGAGAGAGGGGGGGGGGGGGGGGTTGATGGAGGAATGGAACGGTGCCCAGGCATTTGGACCGTCGAGGATCGAACACCGACCTGCAAGCAGCGAAGCCGTCGCTGTACCAATTGGTCCTAGTGGCTAGCACAAATAATATGTGTATGTAGTGATGGAATGTTCAACAGGTGTGTGTTTGGCTTTCGTGTTAACTTGTTGCATTGTGGGAATTCCGTGAGCAGTTACGAATATTGTACATCTTGGAGACGGCACGTGGTGGGTCTGTCCCCCCACTGTGGGCAGGTGATGGTGGGTGTCTCCCCACTGTGGGGGGGGGGGGGTGATGATGGATGTCTTCCCCCACTGTGTGTGTGGGGGGGGGTGATGGTGGGTGTCTCCCCACTGTGGGGGGGGGTGATGATGGATGTCTTCCCCCACTGTGTGTGTGTGTGGGGGGGGGGTGATGATGGTGGGTGTCTCCCCACTGTGTGTGTGTGGGGGGGGGGGTGATGGTGGGTGTCTCCCCACTATGGCGGGTGATGGTGCGTGTCTAAAGATGTCACGGGCCGCCATGGGATATCAGATTGACCGTGACTTGCCATGTCCCATTAAGTTTCAGAAAGGGGCTGGGGGTAATGGTGTTGGGTGGAGGAAGGGGGGGGGTGATGAGGGGTCGGGGAAGAGGCTTATCTAGGCGGGTTACCGGGGGGGGGGAGTGGGGGAGGGGGGCCTACCCACGGTCACCTGCCACCCGAGGCAAACTTATGGAGCCTAATTTCCGTGTATGAATATTTAATGAGGCAGTTAGCATAGGTTCGGAATGGAGGCGAAGTGGTAGCTTTCCAAGTGGTGGTGTTTGGGGGTGGGGATGGGGTCGTGTGGTGACGATGGGGATCGTAATGGTGATGGGGTCGTGTTAGCGGGGGAAGGAGCTGGGGCTTAAGATTGTGGTGTTGTGAGTGGAAGGAAGAGGAGTTGAACAGAAAATATTAAATAGATAGATTTTGGCAAGCAAAATAGCGGTGGTATGGGTGGGGGGGGGAGGAGGGGGAATGCTGAAGGTTGCACGGTGGGGGGCGGGGGGGGGGCTAGGGAGTGCCATGGTTGGGGGTGGAAGTGTGGGTAAGGCAAGCAAGTTATTGGGGAAGGCCCAAGGCAATAAGGGGAGCCAGAGTGTGTTTGAGTGAGGCAAGAGATATTTTGAGGAGGGTGTGGGCTGGCAGGCTGTATGACAGGGGAGCCAACCTGGCCTGCCTTCATCGCCGCCGCCAAGACCACCACCACCTCCTCGATAACTCTCCCACCCTCTATTCCACCCACAGGGCCACCCGCTCAAGGTATAATTAGACCAGGTGGGTGGCTGTGGAGTGTGTAGAGGTTTCCGACGGTGTCACGGTTCTTGGCTATTAGAAAGCCAGAACTTGTGGTCATGTTGTGTATGAAAGCCGATTGATCAAGACGGCATTTAAAACTCATGGCCTCATAGTATCCACCACCTTCCACGCAGCCTAACTCATCCGCCGCCTCTCACCCAGGTGGCTGTTCCACCAAGTAGTCAATCATGTGCGGCTAAATCGTAACCCAGCTAGAGATGTTTCCCAACTTCCCGTTTCCGTGACGGGAGGAATTCCGCGGAATGTCACTTTTCAAAGCACTTTTGTTTATTTTCAATAATTAGCCATCTTGTTCACCACTGATTGCAGATCGCGTTATGATTTACAGGGTATAAAACAGAGTAAGCAATTCACTTCTAGGAGATGAAACAATTACGAACTTGTCACTGGAGTCAAGACCAGTGGCTGGGAAGCCGGCAAAACTCACCTTATATCTGCTAAAGATAAGCTACAACTCGTGTTGCATTTCCATCACCACGAGGTGAGAATGGTTACAGCACTCCATACTATGAGAGCACTTAGGGTCAACTACAATGACAAACGATCCTTGGCACATGAACAGTAACTGTTTCAGATCGTGTAAAATTGTATAAAGCTCCACAGTAAAAATATTCGTCTCTGGTGGATGGCAGTAAGTAATTATCAAAGAAGGCACCAAGCCGAGAAGGCTATGTAGCACCATTGGTGGATGGCAGACATAAAGGTTTCACGGAAAAATAACTGAGAAGCAAACACCATCGGCAGATTTCGCCCCATCTGTAGAGTAGTAGTTGTGTGAATGACAATGCTCGAGAGAGAAGGCATGTCAAGGTCATGAGCTATAACAATGGTGTGCATATGCATGGTCAATGACCTACTCCCTTCCGGATGACATTTGCTGACCCAACTATTCGTACGAGGTCAATAACCACAACTTACATTAGCTGTAGTGAGCTCCATTAATATACAGGTCTCATTCCCTCCTCCAGGATGAGTTTAGCAGGTCTATAGGGACCCCCCACCCACACTATGTCAATAACCCTCCTCTTTCTTGCTGCATTGACCTGTAATGACCTGAGGTGGCCTCATTTTCAGCCGGGCCATCATGATGTACCTGATGAACAAGCACGCTACCGAGGCCACCCAATACCTGTACCCGAAGGAACCTGAGGAGAGGGCCAAGGTCGACCGAATGCTCTTCTTCGATATGGGGACACTCTACCACGCCATCAAGGAGTACTTCGTAAGTTCTCAAGTTCTGCCACTTGCTCACTTAACCTGTTCCAACCCTCTATCTCTGTTTGCAAATGTGAACTTTCTATCGTATATATTTTTGTTCTTTAAGTCTCAGTTTTATTTAATTTTTCTGTCTGTTGTTAATTCCTGTTACTATTTTCTATGTACTGATCATATCTCACCTAAGCTACACGACAAAGCATACTGGGAAAAATCACGACACCATGAGTGTAGTTCTCATCCTTTAACTACACTTGGGTAATTACACACACACACACACACACACACACACACACACACACACACACACACACACACACACACACACACACACACACACACACAGACACACACACACACACACACACACACACAGACAGCCGATAAAGGCTACGGGAGCTAAACCTCACATCCCTGGAAGACAGAAGGGTAAGGGGGAGACATGGTAACCACCTACAAAATTCTCAGGAGAATTGGCAGGGTAGACAAAGACAAACTATTTAGCATGGGTAGTGCAAGAACAAGGGGGGGACAGATGCAAATTTAGTACCCAAATGAGCCACAGAGACATTAGAAAGAATTTGTTGTCAGAGTAGTTAACAAATGGAATGCATTAGGCAGTGATGTGGTGGAGGCTGACAACATACAATTTCAAATGTAGATATGATAGAGCCCAGTAGACTCAGGAATCTGTACATCAGTTGATTGACAGTTGAGAGGCGGGACCAAAGAGCCAAAGCTCAACCCCCACAAGCACAACTAGGTGAGTACACACACATATGCACATGCACAGTGTATGTGCATTGTGTGACCATGTGTGCATACATGTGTGTGTTAATGGGACGGGGGTTGAGGGTGTGGTATGTGAAAGCCCCGAGATGTGTTGTTTGGTATGTTTGTTAATGAGTGTAGCGATGGACGGGGCAGACCCTGAGAAGATTGGTGGAAAAGAATTGAGGAAAACTCTTGGGAGCTCATTGTGTACAAAGTGGTGTTTACAGTGTAAATCGCCCCTGGAGGTGACCAACCAGGAAAGGCTGTCTCGAAAACTGTTGCATTGTACTGGGTTCTTTCTGGTTTATTGTATGCTACCCGCCACCTCACTCCCTACCACCAAACTCCACACTCAGTGGGTGTGGTGGTGGTGGTGGGGTGTATGTGATGGTACCTACCTACCATCACACGCTTCACCACCACACACTCACTATCCCCACCATCTCAACCACTTGCCGTCACTCAACTACCAAAACTCCCATACTCGCCACCAATACCACAATCATTCTCCCCATCACAACGTCCACACGCTCCCCACCACCACCACCGACCTAGGTTAATTAAAGAGTATGATCTTGCAGATATCAATCCAGCAAACTAGCCTCTTATTAGAGACTTTTGTTTACATAAAAAACTCATACCTATAATGTTCAAACATTCATCACTCTATTCCCCTCGTTATTTAGTGTGAAGGAAATCATCGCTGTACCCGTTTGTGAATTCTTTTATCACTGGACGACACCAGCCTCAGTAACTCCTTTCCATAGGGCCCCAAGATCCACCAGGGTCTTCCCCCGGACCCAGAGAAGGAGAACCTGCTCAAGACCAGCCTGGACTACCTCGACCACTTCCTGGAAATTGGGGGAGTGCAGTACCTCTGTGGGGACAGGATCACAATTGCTGATATCGCCGTGCTTGCCTCCATAACTGAGCTGGATGCTATGAACTACAGCTACAAGTGCTATGGTGACTTAAACAGGTGGAGTGAGAGGATTAAGGTGAGTTGGGGAAGAGAGGTGGGGTGGTATTGAGTAGGGTTGGGTTATAGAGGGAGCAGGATGGGGGTGAGGGATGTGGGGCACAGTATTGAGCAAGGTGGTGTTGAGTGGGATAGGCTTGAGAGTCCTGGTGTAGGCACGAGAGACAAGTGGGTTGTGAATGGTGTATGAGTTAGGTGGAATGACTAAGAGGGTCAAGGTTATCTTTATAACACGTGGCAGAGGCTGTTTTTATACACAGTAAAGGTTTCTAGAGGTGTTGTTAATTGCATTGAAATTGAAATTGAAATTGAAATAAGTTTATTGAGGTAAAATACACACAAAGGGATGAGGTAGCTCAAGCTATTCTCACCCCGTTCAGTACAACGTGTTAATATATACATATACACACATCACAAATAAACATATTACCAAACATTCTGAGAGGTAAAAATATACATTTCCTCCCTCACAAGGAGTATGGTATCAGACGTACACACAAATACTTTTATGACCTAAGCTTGTTAATTGCATATTACTTCATCAGTTCTAAAAGAGGAACAATGGGGGATACCTTTGATATGTTGTCATTATTTATATAAAATACTCAGAGGTAATGATGCAATACATTGAGATACAAAGTTTAGATTGAACAGCAAAATAATGAGATGTGCATGCAAGTAGAATATGAAGGTGGACCACAGGGCTGTGAGGCTACTTACACAAGCTAACTCCATCCATAGTTTCAGAAGCAGATATGACAAGAAACAAAGAGGCCAGGAGTCATTTAATTAGAAAACTGACAATTGGAAAAGCAAGGCCCAGGAGCTGTAGCTTGGCCCTGCAGTCTCTGTTAGGCATTAACCGTTAGCCAAGGACATAATTGCCTTGCTATTGGAAAAGCTTCTCTATCTTAGAAAGTACAATGGTCTACATTCTCGACTCACAATCGGGGATACTGGGTTCGATCCCTGGGCAGGAGAGAAATGGTTTGGCATGTTTGCCTTCAGCTGTTTACCTACCATTAAATAGGCACCCCAGAAATTAAGCAACTGCTGTGGGTTGAATCCTGGGAAAGGGTTGCATCTGAGGAAGGAAAAGGAAGGCATTCATTTTTCACCCAGAACTTTGCAAGAACACTTTAAATAAGAAAGAATGCTTCAACACAGAATGTCCAGCTTTTCATACAAGAGGTACCACACGAATAAAGCCAACAGACCATCACGATGAAAATGGCCACAACAATAATTTACCAGGATGATTTTTTAGGAAGAGGAAGAGGAATGGCTAAATGAATTTTGAATTTTTCCAATTCATTAATCCAAATGAAATTTTTCATGGATGTGTTACCAACATCAAATCGTGTATCAGATGTCACCCTATTCCCACTGGATTTTGAAGAAGCCTTAGTATGCCTATGCACTCTGCACCAGGCTTTGATTTTTGGAACTCTATATTTATCAAGAACGGTAAAAAACCACTATCGCAGGCCCTTCACATTCTTTGGAGACTGATCCTAGATATTGCCATTATCCCTGACATACTAAAAACAGGAGAGATAGCACCACTCTATAAAGGAAGAAATAAGGCAGAGGCAGAAATTTACAGACCAATAGCACTACATCACATATCATAAAAATCTGTGAAAGTGCTAAGAAGATCCAAAAATAAATGGAATCACAGCATCTCCATAACCCCTGGACAACATGGTTTCAGAACAGGGCACTCTTGCCTATCATAGTTGCTGGACCACTATGACATGGCTTTAGATGTCATGGAAGACAAACAAAACGCTGATGTAATTTGCACAGATTTCGTAAAAGCCTTTGACAAATGTGACCATAGTGTTGTTGCACACAAAATGCGTTCAAAAGGAATTACAGTACCGGAAAAAGAGGCAGATGGATCTATAATTTCCTGACTAATAGAACCCGATGTGTAATAGTCAACAAAATAAAATCCGGACCATCAACTGTGAAGAGCTCAGTCCCCCCAAGGTACTGTGCTTGCTCCGGTACTTTTCTCAATCTCATATTGGGCATAGACAAGGACACAATCTGCAGTACTGTATCCTTTGCAGATGACACTAGGATTTTGATGAGAGTAGACAACATAGAGCACACCACAAACCTATAATCAGGTGTAAATCAGGTCTTTCGATGGGCAACAGAAAATATGGTACAGTATGTAATGAAGATAAGTTCCAGCTCCTGCACTACAGAAGAAATGAAAATATAAAAACGGAAACCACGTGCAAATCGCAGACTAATCGTAACATAGAACAGAAAAGCAATGTAAAGAATTTGGTTGTACTTATGTTGGAAGACTTACCTTTAAAGAACACAATAAAGTAGCCATCACAACTGCAAGAAAAATGACAGGTTACATAACAAGATCCTTTCAAACTAGAGATGCTATATCAATGATGATACTTCTCAAAGTAGCTAGTGCTTTCTAAAGTGGAATAGTGTTGCACAATGACAACCCCTTTCAAAGCTGGAGAAATTGCTGACCTGAAGAGTGTGCAGAGATCCTTTACTGCCAGAATCCACTCGATAAAACATCTTAACTATTGGGACCAACTAAAAATGCCTAAATCTGTTTTCTCTTAAGTCCAGGCAGGAGAGAGAGATAATAATTTATACATGGAAAATACTAGAGGGGTCTGGTCCCAAATGTGCAAACAGAAATAACACCACAAGAGACCAGAAGGCATGGCAAGATGTGCAGAATACCCCCGTTGAAGAGCAAAGGTGCAATAGGTACTCGGAAAGAGAACTTATCAGAGGCCCGAGACTGTTCAGCACGCTTCCACCACACATAAGGGGGAATGGCCGACCCCTCGCAGTGTTCAAGAGAGAACTAGATAAACACCACCAAAGGATACCTGATTATCTAGGCTGTGATTCATACGACAGGCTACAAGCAACCGCCTCCAATAGCCAGGTTGACTAGTCTAGCAACGTGGCGGCCTGGTCAAGTACCGGCCACTGGGACGGTAAGCCCCGAAATCATCGCAAGATAACCACAAGGTAAGGTCAAAAGTTCGAACTTGGGGGGGGGGGGGGGAGGAGGGAGAACCTAGAAACATGTCTTAAGTAAAGGCTTTGTCCCTGATGAAGGGAATTACACAGGGATATTAATGTCATAAAGGCTTAACATCCTAAGCTCATGCTCTGGCTGTCCAAGCCTAATACGAGTTCAATCTAGGGACCTCGCATCACGGCAGTTTCAGCCTCCGCATGAGAATACGTCACTGAATTTATTTCACTTTTTCAAGTGCTGCTGCCTCATTAAAACCAAGTCATGCCAGTGACTACATACAGTAAAGTGTGTATACGATTGCATGAAATCTGCTGTGGCAGACTTACATAAGCTTATAAAATTAACAGATAGAATGTAGCTTGTATGAATGACCTGCTATATACTGTACATACAGTATATGTATGTATATACTGTATAATTTCCAGACTATTATTGCCGACTCAATAAATTTCACTTCTCACACATGAAAATCCCACTTCTATTTTTTAGTTACAGCCTACATTCTACCTAGTTAAAAAAGTGATTAGCTTAGCTTGTACCATTTTCTTTTAATGCAAGATTCCCAGTTTTCTGCTCGGTAGCACAGTTTCAAATGTACCTTTGATATTTTCAGGAGAACTTCCCTTATTATAAGGAGTGTTGCATGGAAGGCGTGCAGATGACCCGAGAAAGAGTAAAGCAACTGGAGGCTGACTTCAAAAAACAGATGGAGAAAGAACGCAAAGCGTCCCTCACCAAGAAGTAAAGAAAGAGGAAGAAAAATCAAGAAAATTATGATAAGAGAGAAATGATTTTTGCCTTTTATTCACTCTGAAAAAATAAAATGGGGTTTATCATAAATATATTATTTATTGCATGAAATAAGTGATACTTCCTCATGAAGAATGTTCACAGCAGTATTCAGATTAACAAGACAATCATCAGTGTGCCATGGAGAAGAATTCTTGGCTACTAAATCTCTACTGTTTACCTATTATTTGTTTATGATAATAGCACAACCCTCCTGTTGAACCAGAGGATTGTAGGCATTAGCTCAAACCCTTCATTGATGATATATTTATATTTTTATTAAAAAGTAAATGACTGCTTGGCAGTCATTTGGGAAGGCTTGCAATTCTGCATTTTGAATAGGATTACAGTAACTGATAATAAGTTTAAATTTTATATATATATTACATAAAATGATTTGAATTTGATACCAAGCAGGAAATTAGCACATGATGTTGCAATATCATAATTTGCAATTTAATTCTAGTTACTGTATACAATTACCAATAATACAATACCAAGAATACAATATCAGATACTGCATTATACAAGGTAATATTGCAAATGGCAGTACTTAAGTCACACTACACTGAACTAAATTTCTGACTGTAATGAATGCTATTTATACAACTTTATGCAACGTGTCCTTATTTAGGCAATGTAGTGACTGTATCAACTGTCACAATGTGCATGTGCCACAGTGTGGGTACTACTGTTGTACTTTATTTTTTTGGATTTGATTAGGCTATGTTAGCAGTGGGATTTTGTTTGGTTTTCAATTTAACGCTTAATATATGCTTCTTAATTGAAAACAGTTTTGATGGTTTAAACATAGATGGTAATAATTATATATCGTGCTTATTTCTGTAAAAAAAAAAAAAAAAGACAGCTAAATTGGAAAAAACTATATACAATTTTCCTTAAGCTCATATTTTGGTTGGACTCGGTTTTGATCTCACAATAGGATATCGCAGAGTTAATATCCAAATTATACAGACTGATAATATCAAAGATGAATGCTCTCTCTAACTTGACCAATATAAAGAGTATAACATCCACTGTGTGTTAAACCCAGTATCTGACAATATTATTCTTCTCAGTGAAACATAACACACGAGGTTGTATGTAAATGTAGCTAAATCTACTTGTGTTATAAAATGGATTAGGCTGTCTGACTTGAAGACACAGTCACTGTCTTATATCTGTGGCTAGTGATGTGCCCTCCCCGACATCAGGATGTGGTCAGCTCTCGTACAACTATACTGTACGGGTGGCATGTCCTGCCTGATGTGAGGATGTGCCTCTAATATGCTTGGTGACACGGAATGTCTATCGTGAGGGCATAGTCACCTCTCGTAAGCCTATACTTTTGACTTGTCTGCTTCAGTATTAATGTTTTGCTTCATATGTTTAAAGCCAACATGACAACATTTACCATCCTACACTGGTCCTTGCAAGGTTGGAGATGTTCAAGTCTTGAATTATGAGAGTTTATTTATCAAAAGTTGTAATGTGATATTTACTCGTTGTTTTCCTCTCGATGATTGTTACTTATTCAATGCTTTTCTTTTCATAATTAACATCCTTAAATCTGTCTTGTATTTATTGCAGTTGTTACTAACTACTAGCATCTTCATATAAAATAGGTAAGCTAACCAAGTTTTCTGAACTTTAACAAAAAAAATAAAAAAAATAAAAAAAAGAAAAGAAAGGGAGTCTCCATGATCATGCAGTTGTGCACTGCTTAATTTAACCCTCAAGAACAATACCAGCTTACTCGTCAATCATCTCCTTCCTTGCAAGGCCCTATTTGAGTCATACATGAAATGATATCTAGACAATGTTTTTCAGAGAATGTAGTTTGTAACTTATTTAACATATCTAATGGAAAAAAATATATATATGCCCAGGAATTCTCACTTGTCGAGGAAGTTGTGAGCAAGTACAGTTTGTTTGTCTGCCTCTTGTAATTGATGGATGTGATAGCACACTTAATGCTATAGTTATAAAGGAAACTTCTCTCAACAGACACAGGGTCATGCTTCTGTCGTCCTCTGTTCAATAAGGTAACTGTCTCTGTTTGCATCTCTGTGTCTGTCTCTCCCTATCCATCTGTGTTTACATCTCTCCATCAACCTGTGTACTTCTCCTGATCACTGTTTCTGTATGTCTAAACTGTTTGGTTGTATCTACTCGCACCAACTTGTATTCCCCCGTCTTTGTCCTGTATCCTTAGGCATGTGGTTTATCTCGTATGCAGAACACACTTTTGAGTTCATTAAAATATTTGTATAAAAAATGTAATTCTTGTACCCTTCAATCTTTCTCAACTAGATAGAGGCACACAGTTCTGTCAAGACAAACATACAGATAATGGCTCATTTTTACTATCGCATATCATAGTTCAGGTTTACTTAAAAAAAAAAAAAAGTATGTGTACTCATATGGAGAAAACAAATATTTTTGTGTGTAACTCTATTCATAGCAGAATCATATTGACTGTCAATAGAAAATTATATATAAATATATATTATTTTTTTTGGGGGGTGGGGGGTGGAGAGAAAATTTTTAATGTCTTATACGAGTATAACCACACTGGGAGCACCTTTTTTGCCCTATGACTGCCATACTTTGGAGAATTGTGATTGTTTGGCTCTAGGAGCATCACACCATGGAGAGCAGCGAGTGCCTGGACCTATGAGTGCCGCATCGGAGAGAACAGCATTGGCCCTGTGTCTGGGCTCACCGTTGTAGTTATGTTGGTCACATATTGATGCTTTCCTGTAAAGTGTGTGAAAATAAAGTTTTATTCCATAACTTTTTTTTTAATTTATACATTCTTTGTAGTCTTCCAGGCTTGGTGCCTTTTGATAACTACTTACCCTTGCATACATTGCAAGCTGTGCTGCATAATTTTTTACACTAAAAATATTTTGATCTTTGAGTTTCAGGACTTTTTGGGGAGAATCATTATTAGCAGTTTATAGTGCCTAAATTGCCTTTAGAAATATAAGGAAACCTTCAGAATACTGTGTGTAGTCTTTAGAAGACCCACCCTCAAATAAGCAGCCCAGTATGGAATCCCTACTTGAAGACCAAATAAAATTAGACACAGCAAATGGATAAGAAGCAAGGTTGGTCCCGGAAACAAGATGAATAAGCTACAGTGAAAGACTTGGAGAACAAAGTGTAGGGAAACACATTGTATAAGATTCTGAGGAAAATTGACAAAGTGCTCAAAGAAACAATGTTCAAAATGGGTAATGGTAGATTGAGAGGGGATTAATGGAAATACAAATGTGTCACACACATTAGGAAACATGTTTTTATAAAGATTAGCTCATGAATGGAATAGGCTAAATGTTGCTGAAATGCAACACACCCTCCTAAAATTATAGTACCAAAATTAAAATTGTAAATGTACCTGTATATACAGACCCAAAAAAGTTTATCTTGTACTACTAGAATCTGAGAAAAATGCAAAAACCAAACTTAAACATTCTTAAGCCTAGTATTGCACATAGAAAGTACCTGTACATACATATACAGATGCAATTGACGATCACAAAACACTGATCATTTTTATGCGGAAAATCCACAGAGAAATGTGAAAGGAAGTGAACATTTCGGCCTGATGACAACGGCTTTAATCAGGCCGAAACGTTCACTTCCTTTCACATTTCTCTGTGAATTTTCCACACATATACAGATATAAGACAAAGTGTATATTAGCCTGAGAATTGCTTGGACGGGTCAGATGAGTTTCTTTTAGTTACATTTCCAATTTTAAAGAATGCCAATTGGGCTAATTCAATAATACAAAATGTGAACTTTCTGGGGGTCCAACAGCACATACAGTACTGGTATTTTTACCAAATATTTTATATAGGTACATGCTATCATTTTAGAAGGATGGCTGATGAACTGACATTATAAGCAACTTTAATCTGAATCAATTTCATGTAGAAACAGTCACATATTAACCAATCAATAGCTGGAAATGTAAGGCTTAAAAGATAAAGTTTGATCCCTGCAAGCACATCCAGGCAAGTGTTGCAAGTACAACTGACTTGCAGTTGAATGTTCCCAAATTGGATTCTCAAATAGGTAGATTCTCAAATAAAATTGGATAGGTAGGTGCTTGGGAATTAGGCAACTGTTGTAGGTTGTATGCTCAGAAAGGCGAGTCATCGGGTCCTATAGGACCTCGGTAAGCCCAGCAGGCTTGCTTGTCCCATACAATGAGAAAAAACACTCCACACACCCGTTCTCGCAAATTTAATAAGTCAATATTGACTTATTAAATATGTGCATAGGTGACATACTTAACATAATAGATACCCTTAAAAAGATTCATAGAAAACACCGACCTTACGCGGTCCATAGAATTACCCCAATCACCCAAATCAGGCCAAAACTACCCAAAACGTATTAGCATTACGTAAGTAATGAAGAAATATGGTATATTTACTTACTATAATGTTGGTGCTACACGTAGAACATGATCAAACCTATTTTTTCTCTGAAATAATCTAATTTCATAACGAAATGAGACGTAAATATGTGAGAGGTGACGCCATAGGAAGTCGACGGTCCAAGCGACAATTGTGTGGAGCGACTTATCCAAGAAATATGGTCGCCAGGAGAGTGTTTGCTGCCATATCAGCCTCCTGTACACAGTGATCCAGTCCTTTTCGTTCATTGAACACCGAACCCTACACGCCCTCTGATATATTGCTTAATTAACTTAAGCCCATCATCACACAGCAAAAATCTGCTATCAGAATGATAACTAACTCAGCTTTCAGACAACACTCAGCTCCCTTGTTTAAATCCCTAAACTTGCTAAATATTAACTCCCTCCACACATTCTCTTGTGTCAACTACATTTACAAAACCCTGTTCTTAAATGCAAACCATGCTCTGAAACTCTCCCTGGACAGATGTAATAGGACCCATTTTCACCACACCAGAAATAAATATCTCTTTGATATCCCCAGGGTCAAACTTAATCTGTGTAAACACTCTATGCAAATTAAGGGACCTAGTCTATGGAACTCATTCCCTAGTGAATTGAAAAACTGTAAAACTTTTGCCTTATTTAAAAGCAAAACCAAAAAGTACCTAACTTCATCTATTTAGTTTCCTACACTGAGCTTTAAATTTGCTCTGTACCTAGTTGGTACCCAATCTCCTAATTTTTATGTAATATCAAACAACCTTATCATTGTGTTCATTGCTGTCTTCTTTTATGTGCTAGCCATATGCTGTATTGTGACTACCAATTTTTGTCAACTACCATTTTAAGCTGTCATTGCAATCAATCTTAGCTACCTATGTGCTTTAATATATTATACTGTACCTATAATTTTCTCTCATCTTTTTTTTTCATTCCATGTAATTAATCTGTTATCATTTTTTTGTCTATAAATTTTGCAAGTATTTACCTCCTTAAAATTTTCTTAGATTAAGGACCTGCCCGAAACGCTGCGCGTGCTAGTGGCTTTACAAGACTGTAATTACCATAATTGTATCCTCACATTCCTTATGTACATTCTTGTATATGCATAAATAAATAAATAAATAAATAAATAAAATTTTCTTAGATTAAGGACCTGTCCGAAACGCTGCGCGTGCTAGTGGCTTTACAAGACTGTAATTACCATATTTGTATCCTCACAATCCCAATGTACCTTCTTGTAAATGCATAAATAAATAAATAAATAAAGTATCAGTGGCCAGCCAGGTGGAGATCACAGGCTGTACAGTACTGATAAATTATGTAATTCACAGAGATACGTTGATAAATATTAATGTTTTATATTTTATTAAAAATACAGATATATACTTTGTTTCATCCGTTAAATGTAACAATATTTCAGTATATATTATATAAGCATAGTATATATAATTCAGTATATACAATATATAATAAGAGTGTCAGACCACGAAGGAAGAATTGAAACAGGAATTTCCTTTAGTACTTTCTTATATTAATACATCTTCAGAGCGAACCATTCCTTCTGAAGATGTATTAATATACGAAAGTACTTAGAGCATTCTATTGTGGTTTTAATATTGAACAATTATACATATACGAAACAGACAAATCTGGTGTCGGAAATAGTAAAAATATTAGTGTGCGATGTGATCAATGTAAGGGGGATATTGGGTGTGCCTCGTATCCCCTACAACAACAAGAAGTTCGAGAGCGATGAGGCCGCCACTAATTAGCTTCAGGATGTCGTCGAATCTAAATCAACAATATACTACCGCCGCTACTTTCTCGGAAACGTAAGTACCTGCCGCTTTACTTCTCTCACCCTGCCAAGCCTGGCCTGGCCTGACCTGGCCTAGCCAGACCTGACCTGGCCTAGCCTAGTCTGACCTGGCCTAGTCTGACCTGACCTGGCCTAGCCTTACCTAGCCTAGTCTGACCTGGCCTAGTCTGACCTGACCTGGCCTAGCCTTACCCAACACTAATCACCACACATGACAGCCCAAACGAATCGCAAATAAGTACACGTAACAAGTCATATGCCCGGACACACTTTCACCTTGGGGACTGAGTGGTAACTATTGTATAGAAGAGCCGGCTCCCTGAGAGTGGTAAGAGGGCGTGATAAGAGGCTAATGTGTGGTCTTGAAGGAAGTCGATAAAGCAGACAATTTTCAAAAGGAAGGGCAGCATAACGAGCAGACAGGAATGGACAGACAGTCGGTTATCCCATAATGTGTAATACGCCGCACACAGCATGGGTGGAGTGGGGGGGGGGGGGGTTGTAGCAGGGCACAGTATGGTGATGGTGCGGGTGAAGTACACACCCACTGAATTCCTGCCATCAATAATTGTTTTCATAACCATTAGAACAATGGCATCCCTCCAGCCACCATCCTTCCACTGACCCCCTCCTCTGGTCCTCCACCTCAGACAATAACCCCCCACACCCCCTCTCCCTTCCAGACATCAGCATGTCAAAATCAGTACCATAATGTGTTTAAACTATTTAAACTAAGTCATTGTGTATCTCAAGGTATCTTAATTCATTTGAAAGTGTACATGTGCATTCATTCATATACTCGCCTAATTGTGCTTGCTGGGGTTGAGCTCTGGCTCTTTAGTTCCACCTCTCAACCGTCAATCAACAGGTGTACAGGTTTCTGAGCCTATTGGGCTCTATCATATCTACACTTGAACCTGTGTATGGAGTCAGCCTCCACCACATCACTTACTAATGCATTCCATTAGATATAATCATATATGATTACACATAATCATAATCATTCTATACACATAATCATATATGTGTACGTCAACGTATACATACATGCGTATATATACCTCATATTAAAATACTGATAAACGAATGACCATGAACAAATTAATTTATAATTGTAGCATTATATATAATTTTAATAGACTAATTACGTGTTTATACATTTGAATGGTCCAGACAGGTGGCCAGCCTTGGACATATACGCTTCTGGTAGGCACAATGACCTCATGTTAGACCCTTGATAGATTATGTGAGAGAGAGAGAGCTGGGGCAGGGAGGTGCGTGCCCCAGGGAGATAATCCATGCCCATGCCCCGCCTCGAGGTCAGTTCTCGAGTCACACCAAGAATAACATTCGAGCAAGTTGTCCTGACCAGGATGTGGCATATTAGGGAGGGTTGAGGAATAGGAAGCCTGTCTGATAGGGCTCTTGGCAAGCAGCTCTCCCTCAGTCTACCTATCTATATGGAAGAAATGTATCTAGGCCCTCCTCCCCCCTGCCTATTCTCTCTCCCCCACCTTTCTTCCTTCATTTCCTCCC